GCAATACATTTCCAAAAAGAGCTAAGAGACAGGGTGATAATTTGAGGGGTCAAACGGTTCCTAACTATTCCTAAAAAATAGAAACTACATTGTAATATTTTTTGAGTCAATAATATTTTTTAGTGATACAAATCTTACTAATTAACCCATAGCGGGGGAGAAGAGATGGATTCATATCTCTTCACTAGGCTATTCGCGTGGAATTGAATATAATGAACCCAACGGAAATTGGAACTCGGCTGTCCAATCCACAATTCAGGGTCATTATCCACTACACCATCCGCTTATTGAAGCTTACGGCTCCTGGTATTCCTAACCGATCACTCATCTGGCTACTGACCAGACTCGACGTTGCTTAACTTCTATAGCCATACGTGGTCATTTATATTTGATTCTATGAGAATTTTTTGGTTCTGGAATAGGTAAATCTAAGTCGTTTGTATTTGCTTTGTTTTGATTTTACGGCATATAAAACATTAATGGGTTATTTAATGCCGACAAAATTTTTATTTCTGGTAATATTTTTTAAAATCTTTTTCCAAAACTGTATTGCTGGTAATATTTTTTTCCAAAAATATATTGCTGGTAATATTTTTTTCCAAAAATATATTGCTGGTAATATTTTTCCAAGACTGTATAGCTGGTAATATTTTTTCCAAAAATGTATTGCTGGTATTATTTTGTTTGTAATAATTTTCCTTTAAAAATGTATTGATGGTAATAATTTTTCCTTCAAAACTATATTCCTGGTAATAACTCTTTCTTCAATAATATATTGCTGGTAATAAATTTTCCTCAACAATGTATTTCTGGTACTAATACCTATTTTTGCACCTCTACAGCGTTTTAACCCCTGTTTGGGAATAAACTATTTGCCCATGGCTGGGACCCTAACAAACGCTACCACATCGGGTAAGGGTGGACCTGGGAAAGCCATCAATTAAGAGATAGTTCAACACTCCTCAAAACTTCAATCTGATTCTTTGCTGTCAGATGTAGTTTAATGTCATACCCAGGACATTGGTTTCTTTTGGAGTCTATAACCATTTACTTGCTTGAATTTGATGTGCTTATTTATTGAACCCGAACCAGGGAACGTTGTAACATATATTTTCTTTGCATCATGAAGAACGGAGATATCTACTTTTTTGTTATATGAATCTATCTTTAGCATTAACTAATATGGTTTGTAACAGTTCAGAGTAAGACTACAGTTTCCGTTTTATTACTAATGTTAATCTACCTTTAATATTAATAGATATCTTTTGTAACCATTTAGAGTAAGACTACAATTTGTTTTATTACTCATGCTAATCTACCTTTAAATTAACAGATATCGTTTGTAAACGTTAAAAGTAAGACTGCAATTTCTGTTTTATTACTAACGTTACTCTATCTTTAATATGGATATCGTTTCTAACCATTCAGAATAAGACTACAATTTCTGTTTTTTATTGCTAATGTTAATCTACCTTTAATATTAACAGATATCTGTTGTAACCATTCAGAGTAAGACTACATTTTTTGTTTTATTCTTAATGTTAATCTATCTTTAATATTAACAGATATCTTTTGTAACTGATCAAAGTAAGACTACAATTTCTGTTTTATTACTAATGTCCAGACATAAAAAAGAAATTGTTTTGGAAAACCATTTTCTCAGAGCAATTTTCTAATCTCAAAATACATTTTCGCTTTTCATAGCATTTCTTAATTAGAATGTTATCAGGAAAAAAGGAAATGTATTTCATTTCACTTACACAGCACTAATTGCACATGACCGGTGTCATTGACAATGGAACTTGACAGACGAGAATAATGATCGTAAGAAATTTTTAGTTGTCAACAAAGATTTCTCAGTTGTATAGAAGCTTTGAAATTAGAAGAGACGTTGGAGGTATTTAATTATGTCTGTTTCATTAAGCACACCACTTCCCCATCACTACCAAAGCGTCGTTTTCATCTCATTATAATCAGTCAGGAATGCTTTTCGACTGTTGACGGCTACTTCAGCCTGCGTTTTATATCGGAGTTTGTAAGGGGCATGTCGTATCAGCAGAGCTTGTAGACAAGAAAAAAATAAAACGAAAAAAAAACCGAACCCATCTAACAAATAAATGCTTACAGACTCAAATAAAAACGGCCAATATTTGCCTAAATCCAAACCAAATGAAGGCTTTTTAGAATTAATTATATATGGGTAGTATCTACCTATATATCAAATATAAACTACCAATATTTACTTATTCCTAAAATAAGTAATTGCTTATACATTCAAACTTAAACTATCAATATTTGCTTATCCTTAGATAAAGTGAATACTTTTAAAAAACAATTATAAACGATATAATATTTAACAATCCTTAAAAAAAACTAGATACATTTAGAATTAATTATTCGAGATTTACCTTCCGTACACAGAAGTAAATTCTTAGAGACTCAAATATAAACGTTTAATGTTTACCGACAAATTTATCAAAAATCTATATTTAAAATGATATACGTGGTTGGTGCATAATTATCAGGCGTTTTTGTAGGCGAGCTATTTGTTAATAAAAAAATGCCGTTTTATTTCCTTTTTTTAATAAAAATATTTTATTTTCAGGTTATAAAAATTATCATACGCTCCGGATTAATCATTTAAAAATATTAATGTTGGATTGTTATATTTCTATTTTCATAATAAATAGTGTTTAAAAAACGCCTGATAATTATGCACCAACCCAAATATAAACCAGGTGAAGGAATTTCAAATTCTATTAGCGTTCACCATCGCGAAGTCCAATAGCCGTTATGACTTTTCAGTGATGATGGGGGTTTCCTTCCTGGCTTTTTGTTTGAAGTGGTGTAGAACGACAACGTCTTGATTATTGTATTATTTTCTCTTCGGGTTACATGTGATATATATTTTAGTTGTTGCTTCTGTTGAAAGTCACCCGTTGATGTGTTTTTTGTTATCGAGTCCTAATTCTTTTTTCGCGATTCTTTAGCGAAAGTCTATAATAGTTCGAGGATTGTCCGGTTTAAGTCTCCGAATGAGAATGCAATTTAAATTTTCAGGTCTTTGCTGAATGAGACTACAATTTCAATTTTCAGGTCTTTGCAGGATGGGACTGCAATTTAAATTTTCAAGTTTTTGTTGGATGGGAATGCACTTGAAAGTTTTAGGTCTTTGCTGGAGAGGACTTCAATTTAAATTTGCAGGTTTTTCCTGTATAAGACTGCAATTTAAATTTTTAGGTCTTTGCTGGATGTGACTGCAATTTAAATTTTCAGGTCTTTTCTGGATGGGATTGCAATTTAAATTTTCAGGTCTTTGCTGGAGGAAACTGCACTTTAAATTTTCAGGTTTTTGCTGGATGAGACTGCACTTTAAATTTTCAGGTCTTTTCTGGATAGGAATGCACTTTAAATTTTCAGATCATTGCTGGATGGGACTGCAAGTTACTTTTTCAGGTCTTTGCTAGATGAGACTGCATTTTAAATTATCAGATCTTTGCTGAATGATACTGCCCTTTAAATTGTTAGGTATTTGCTGGATAGGACTGCACTTTAAAATTTCATGTCTTTGCTGGATTGCATTTCATTTTAAATCTTAAGTCTTTACGTAATATTGTTGCCAATCTAATACTACGCTTAAATGCATAACGTCCAGGCTTCCGGAGCGAAGAGTTTCATTCAATGAAAGTATTTATAAAAAGGTTCTGGAAAAAGTGACGGCGGTGGGAAAGTGAATGAAATCGACATGTCACGTGTCATGTCATCCATAATGCTGCTGATTCTTCTTCGGATTATTTAATGAATCTCCAAATATATAGCTGAAGCACAGGACCATTTGGAATCAGGGTAGATATATAAATATGACGAATTGTAGGCATATAAATATGTAAGACAGGTTCTGGGGAAAAACTTTTTCCAGCATGTTGCAGTTAACTTCCTCCGCAGCAGACCTGGTTTGAATATAATCGAGAATATTAGCCAGAATAGACGTAAAAAGTCACTGATCTTGAGGTTAGCATCAGCTATATTGATTGATGAGGCACGGTGGAGTAATGGATAGCGGCTTGGATTGAGGAATCGGAGAGCCGAGTTCAAATTCCAGTCGGATCCATTATATTCACTTACGTGCTAATACCCTTGGGAAAGGTGTGAATCCTCTTTCTTCCCCCTCCAGATATGGGTAAATAGCAGGACAGACTGGGTTCTATAGCCTTGGATGGCAACTGGTCTAGCAGAAGGACAATCTAAATTCAAACCTGCTTTTAAATGAGGGTGAATGGAGTCTCTCTGAGTCTTGGTTGGCAATGCATTTAGTGTTGGTGTCACGATAAAAACACCCTTGATAGCCCTAGCGAAGCATCAAGAATTCAGCTATTTGACAAGATTATGAACTACACCAATCAAAGTATTGGTGAGTTCAATATCGGCTGAGGCCGCAAGATGATAATGATTGATGGGAAGCAGAAATGGGTATTTCAAATGATTAATGGCGAGAGGTTTGCGCGGCATTAAAATTAACATTTCTTGCCACAGTTTACTTAATTACTTACAGTCTGTTGACATTTCTTGCAACTGACTGTAAGTAATTTTTTTAGCTCAGCTGATAATTTCATCTTATCGAACTGACCAGAATTGCGATCGAAACAGGAGTAAATGGATAGACACGAAGTTCATCAATGATGTCATCAAGAAAGTCATTGATGGAAACTAAGAGAAAAGTAGGTCCAAGGATAGATACCTGCATTTGTATCAAAGATCTAGAAGATTGACTGTTCATTTCGCAATTTGGTAAGTGTTGTGGCCTTGTTAGGGCCAGAAATAAAGACACAAAAAGAGGAATTGAGTTAAACAAATATATCAACAGAAACAGTAATAGAAACATATACAAACGAGAGTGTTACAGCAAGAATGTTTTGTCCGACTATCATAGCTGATTGCGGTAAACGTCACCCTCCCTAAAAAATGGCAGTACCTGCTCCGATTTATAGCTGGAAGATTCCATGCGTGCGCGGGTAAATTACCATAACTATCTATCTATCTATCTATCTATCTATCTATCTATCTATCTATCTATCTATCTATTGTGGCCTTGTTAAGGCGAGAAATAAAGATGCAAGAGAGGAATTTTTAACAAATATATTAACAGAAACAGTAAGGCAAACATATAGAAACGGACGTGTTACAGAAAAAATGTTCCGACTGTCAGAAAAAAGGCAGTACCTGCTCCTATTTATAGCTGGGATAGTCCATGCGTGCGTGGGTAAATAACAGTAAGAAAGACCAGTATGCCAAACCCTGTCAGACGCTTTCCAGATGTCCAAAGCCCACATCCCGTGCTACACCATTCTTAGCCAAAGCTTGATAAACTCTTCCAGCATTAAGCGTTAGTACACCAGCAGTTGAATTGGAGAAGCAAAATATTGCTAGTCTGAAAGAAAGCCCTGCGATGTGAGAGGCTTGACCAATTCAGAGTTGATTGGGGCCTCTAGTAGTGGACACTGAGATCAAAACCTAGCGAAAGGCCGGACGATTGCGATTAAGCACGTAACAGACTGACGCCGGTGGGTGTAGACCTCAATGTCCCATTTATATTTACATACGATCTATCCCTGAATTCGAGAACGTCAGGGCATAAATACAGCATACTTTAAAACTATATTTTATCATATATATATATATATATATATATATATATATATATATATATATATATATATACCGGTGTGACAGAAAAATTGTCCAAATCGTGTAACTGCATAATTATGCATCCCACAAAATATTTAACGTCTAAAAAAGCGCTAAACTAATTGAGTTTTTTTCGGGGTGTTTACATAAGACGAATTACAGGAAGAAAGTAAGAAAAAACGAAAGAAAGAAAGAAAGAAAGAAAGAAAGAAAGAAAGAAAGAAAGAAAGAAAAAGAAAAAATTGCAGGAAGAAAGTAAGAAAAAACATGGCGAAAAGAAAGAAATAAAGAAAGAAATAATTGCAGGAAGAAAGTAAGAAAAAACATGGCGAAAAGAAAGAAAGAAAGAAAGAAAGTAAGAAAGAAAGAAAGTAAGAAAGAAAGAAAGAATTTCAGGAAGAAAGTAAGAAAAAACATGGCGAAAAGAAAGAAAGAAAGAAAGAAAGAAAGAAAGAAAGAGTTTTTGAAAAAAATAAAAAAGAAAGAAAGATACCGATATCAAAGAAAGGAAAGTATGATGAAAAAAAAAGAAAAAGAAGTAACAAAATATACAGAAACGTTTAGTTATTGAAAGGATGAAAGAAATACTACCGAAAGAAATGCAAACGACATTGAAAGAAAGAAAGAAAAAAGAATGAAAGAAATAAGGCAGGAAGGAAGGAAATAAATAAATAAATAAATAAATAATGAAAGAAAGAAAGAAAGAAAGAAAGAAAGAAAGAAAGAAAGAACAGCTCACTTTCACCGACTTCACGATTTAGACAAAGTAGGTACCTGGGTAGTTCAACGTGCCAAAATCACCATATCGACAGCAAAGAGTTAGATTTTTTCAATGCAGCCTCATGTTGGATAATCTATTTTACAGGTCTGAAGATTTACACCTGAAATTTCTTGAAAGAAGGCCGACAGCAACGGTGAGTAACACCACGATTTGACCCAAGCTTTGTGCGTGAAACTGGGAAGATGGAACTGATTGATGGTTGTGCCAGCACGAAAGCACAAGTCATCGTGGCCGAAGGTGTGAGCGTACTGGCGTAGTTCAAATTGCCGATTTTGAGAAACTGTAATTAAGGTTCGCTCAGCATAGTTGCGGTATAAACCACTTGTGGGTTCTATGAGTGCTGAAACAACAGAAATTTGTCTGAGCAACATTCTGTCATTGGGATGGAGTAGCCACCGGAAGTGGTCGGGAAGGAGAGTGGCCGTAGATTTCTTCTTTTTTTTTTACCCTAATTTATATACACAATCTGACACCCTAATTAATCTCAGGGTGAGATTTAACTTAAGGGTATTTTCATTACGTATTTTAAGCATGCGGTGGCATTTCAATTATAATACATATTGTGATTACATTCTTGTATAAATACATACATATGTTTTCTTAATGGATATTGCACACCAATTTTTGCATTTGTTTAGTTGTTTCAAGGTTTATTTTCTTGTTTATATACGCCGTGCAAAAAGAATAAAATTCTGAAATATGTCTTTTTCCCTTTATAGCTTATTTTCGTATGGGAAGCTTTTTTGAGAGAAATGTTCCGAACGACACCACCCGCACGTACGAAGCGAACACACGTACTGCAAAAAAGAACAAAAAAAAAAAGAAGCAACAAAAAAAACGTTAATATATAGATATACATATATAACTGCGCAGACACAAGTTATAATAAACAAATAAATAAATAAAAAATATCAATAATTCATTTGTAGACACATAGACGTACAGACAGCCAAACACACTCTAGACAGGAATATGGCGAAATCATTGATACGTACCCATGAATATTAGAACCTTATAAGCGTACACAAACTCGAACGAAAAATCTAAAAAAAAAAACGGAGGGGGGGCAATTTTCATTATTTTCTTGTTTCCCTTTTCCCTTTTCTCTCCCCATCATTCTTTTTCCTTCTCTCTCGGTCTCTTTTTCTTTCCGTTACTCTTTCTTTCTTTCCTTCTTTCTTTCTTTTCTTTTCTTTTCGTGCTCTTCCCCTTTCTTTCCTTCTTTGTCTGTCACTCTCTTTTTTTTAATCTATTTATTCCTTTATTTTCTTTCTTTACGTTTTTCTTTTCTGTGTTTTTTCCTTCTTTTTCCTCCCTTCACTCTCAATCCCTCTTTCTTTCATTTTTTTGTGCTTTTTTTTTCTTTTCTTTTCTCCGGATACGCGCACGCTAATTTTAAACCTAAAATTCGTTAAAGAAAATACTTTAGAAATTTTGCTCAATACTGCTTAAGTTATTCAACATTGTCAGAATTCTGGAAATGCTGAAAAAAAATCTGGCAATAAACTTCACTCTCAGAAAATATTGTTTTTTCACGCCACATTCTTTTTTGTCAGTTTGCTTGATTATTTTTTCTTTATTTATATTATTTTTGTTTGATTTTTTCTTTCAGTAACATTTCTTTCTTTTCTTTCTTTTCTTTTGATTGTTTGGTTGTCTCTTTCGTTCTAGCGATTGTTTCTGTCTTTCTTTCAGCCTCATTTCTTTCTTTCTTTCTTTTGCTTGCTTGTCTCTCTCAGGTTACTCTTTGTTTGTTTCTATCGTTCTTTCGGCCTCATTTCTTTTGTTTGTCTCTCTCATTCTATTATTTGTTTGTATCGATCTTTCTTTCAGCCTCATTTGTTTCTTTCTTTTGCTTGTTTGTCTCTGTCAGGTTACTCTTTGTTTGTTTCTAGCTTTCTTTCACTCTCATTTCTTTTGTTTATCTCTTTCATTCTATTCTTTGTTTGTTTCTATCTTTCTTTCAGCCTCATTTCTTTCTTTCTTTTGTTTGCTTGTTTGTCTCTGTCAGGTTATTCTTTGTTTGTTTCTATCTTTCTTTCAGCCTCATTTCTTTTGTTTGTTTGTTTGTCTGTTTCATTCTATTATTTGTTTGTATCGATTTTTCTTTCAGCCTCATTTGTTTCTTTTGTTTGCTTGTTTGTCTCTGTCAGGTTACTCTTTGTTTCTATCTTTCTTTCAGCCACATTTCTTTTGTTTTTTTGTTTGTCTCTCTCATTCTATTATTTGTTTGTATCGATCTTTCTTTCAGCCTCATTTCTTTCTTTCTTTTATTTGCTTGTTTGTCCCTGTCAAGTTACTCTTTGTTTGTTTCTATCTTTCTTTCACTCTCATTTCTTTCTTTCTTTTGTTTGCTTGTTTGTCTTTGTCAGGTTATTCTTTGTTTATATCTTTCTTTCAGCCTCATTTCTTAATTTTCCTTGATTGCTTGTCTCTGTAATTCTACTCTTTGTTTCTATCTTTGTTTCAGCCTCATTTCTTTCTTTCTTTCTTTTGCTTGCTTGTCTCTATCCGGTTATTCTTTGTTTGTTTCTATCTTTTTTTCACTCTCATTTCTTTTGTTTGTCTCTCTCATTCTATTATTTGTTTGTTTCTCTCAGCCTCATTTCTTTTCTATTATTTGTTTTGCTTTCTCTGTCAGGTTATTCTTTGTTTGTTTTTCTTTCAGCCTCATTTTTTTTCTTTCTTTTGTTTGCTTGCTTGTCTCTGTCAGGTTATTCTTTGTTTGTTTCTATCTTTCAGCCTCATTTTTTTTCTTTCTTTTGTTTGCTTGCTTGTCTCTGTCAAGTTACTCTTTGTTTGTTTCTATCTTTCTTTCAGCCTCATTTCTTTCTTTTGTTTGCTTGCTTGTCTCTGTCAGGTTACTCTTTGTTTGTTTCTATCTTTCTTTCAGCCTCATTTCTTTCTTTTTTTTTTGTTTCTCTGTCAGGTTACTCTTTGTTTGTTGTCATCTTTCTTTCAGCCTTTGTTTCTTTTGTTTGTTTGCTTGTCTCTTTCAGCCTCTTTGTTTGTTTTATCTTTCTTTCAGCCTCATTTCTTTCTTTCTTTTTGCTTGTTTGTCTCTGGTTACTCTTTGTTTGTTTCTATCTTTCTTTCAGCCTCATTTCTTTCTTTTGTTTGCTTGCTTGTCTCTGTCAGGTTATTCTTTGTTTGTTTCTATCTTTTTGCCTCATTTCTTTCTTTTTGTTTCTTTGTCTCTGTCAGGTTATTCTTTTGTTTGTTTCTATCTTTCAGCCTCATTTTTTCTTTTTTTTTTTGCTTGTTTGTCTCTGTCAGGTTACTCTTTGTTTGTTTTTCTTTCTTTTTTCAGCCTCATGTCTTTCTTTCTTTCTTGCTTGTCTCTGTCAGGTTTTCTTTGTTTGTTTCTATCTTTGCCTCATTTTTTTTTTTCTTTTGTTTGCTTCTTGTTATGTCTTACTCTTTGTTTGTTTCTATCTTTCTTTCAGCCTCATTTCTTTCTTTTTTTGTTTGTTTGCTTGTCTCTGTCAGGTTATTCTTTGTTTGTTTCTATCTTTCTTTTCAGCCTCATTTTTTTCTTTCTTTTTGTTTGCTTGCTTGTCTCTGTCAGGTTACTCTTTGTTTGTTTCTATCTTTCTTTCAGCCTCATTTCTTTTCTTTTTTTTTGTTTGCTTGCTTGTCTCTGTCAGGTTATTCTTTGTTTGTTTCTATCTTTCAGCCTCATTTTTTTCTTTCTTTTGTTTGCTTGCTTGTCTCTGTCAGGTTACTCTCTGTTTGTTTGTTTCTTTATTTTTTTTTCTTTTGTTTGCCTTGTCTCTGTCAGGTTATTCTTTTGTTTGCTTTTTCTTTGTTTTTTCTTTCTTTTGTTTCAGGTTCTCTGTCAGGTTTGTTTGTTTGTTTCTATCTTTCTTTCAGCCTCATTTCTTTCTTTTGTTTGCTTGCTTGTCTCTGTCAGGTTACTCTTTGTTTGTTTCTATCTTTCTTTCAGCCTCATTTCTTTCTTTTGTTTGCTTGCTTGTCTCTGTCAGGTTATTCTTTGTTTGTTTCTATCTTTCAGCCTCATTTTTTTCTTTCTTTTGTTTGCTTGCTTGTCTCTGTCAGGTTACTCTCTGTTTGTTTCTATCTTTCTTTCAGCCTCATTTTTTTCTTTTGTTTGCTTGCTTGTCTCTGTCAGGTTATTCTTTGTTTGTTTTCTTATCTTTCAGCCTCATTTTTTTTCTTTTCTTTTTTTGTTTGCTTGCTTGTCTCTGTCAGGTTATTCTTTGTTTGTTTTTTATCTTTCTTTTCAGCCTCATTTCTTTCTTTTGTTTGCTTGCTTGTCTCTGTCAGGTTACTCTTTGTTTGTTTCTATCTTTCTTTCAGCCTCATTTCTTTCTTTCTTTTGCTTGTCTCTTTCGTTCTCTTGTTTGTTTGTTGCTTTCACCACCATATCTTTCTTTTGGTTTTTCTTTTCATTGTTTTTATTTTTCTTTCACTCTCATTTCTTTCTTTAATTTGATCTTTTTATTGTTTTATTTTTTCTTTCTTTCATTTCTTTTCTTTAATTTGATATTTTCTTTCTTTCTTTCTTTCTTTCTTTCTTTCTCTTCCATTTCGTTGTCCCCCTTCTTTCGATTTTTCTTTCTTTCAACAGACTTTATGTTTCTCTTCCTTTTCATATCAGCCTTTCTTGCTCTTTCCCTGCCTTTCCATCCTTTATTTCATTTGTTTTCTTTCATTCTTTCCTCGTAATACCGATATAACGCTCTATACTGACCCAGCTTTATGCAACGTATGCACAAAAACAGAAATATTAACACGCCTCAACGCTTACACGTGCAAACAGATTGAAAGGGCATGTTTACATAAAACGACAAATAAACTTGTTCCTTTGACACGATGACAACATTGTTGCCATCGATATATTCAGATGGAATTCGTTTGTCTGCAGTTTGGCATGAATTCTAACATTTATAATTGCATACTCAGCATTTGCGATGATGGTTTTCCATACATTCACGAAATGCGTTCAACGGCATTGAAGTTCCAAATGCGACCTAATGAAATGATACCTAAACATATTTATTAAATTCGACAAGCATTTTTTAAAAGTTTTAGACGCTAGTCTGCTTTAAATGGCAGTGCAATGGTGGTGTGTCGGCTTGTTCCTCTTCTGTAGAGATAAGGGGAGATTAGTCTGTCTCGCTAGGAACTATTTCTCTTGCCTGCACCAGTTTATAGGGAAAGAGTGAAAAAAGAAAAGGTAGAAAAAGTATAGAGCGAAGAATGAAACAAAGAAATAGACGTTGCTAAAAACAGAAGAATTTTTTTCGGGAAACAAAAAAGAAAAAGAAAAACAAACATAGTGAAAAGATAGAAAAGTTTATTGAAAGAAATGAGGAAATAAAGAAATAAATAAAGTAAGAAAGGAAAAAAAAGGAAAATAACGGTGTTGAAATACAGAAAGAAACAAATAATGAAAAAAAAATGGACAGAATAAGACAAAAAAGAAATGTGACTAAAAGCAAAAAAAACGTCTCTTGAAAGAATAAAAAAAAGAAAAGTGTTGAAAGGCCGGGTGTATAGAAAGAAAGAAAGAAAGAAAGAAAGAAAGAAAGAAAATGAAAAATGTTTTTTAAAGAAACAAAAAAAAATGTAATTGAACTAAAGAAAGATTGAAATAAACAAATGTAGCTAAAATATTGAAAATTTGTTTTGAATGAAAGAACATGGAACATCGTTTAAAAGAAAGAAAAAATGGTGTTGAGAGAAGGAAAACACAGAAGACAGAACGAAAAAAAGAAAGAAAGAAAAATTTAAAGAAAGAAAGAAAGTATAAGAGATAAGGATTTGAAAGAAAGGAAAAAACTGACGTTGAAAGAAATAAAGAAAGCAGTTGAATTGAAAGAAAAATAAAGTGTATGGAGAAGAAAGAAAGAAAGAAAGAAAGAAAGAAAGAAAGAAAGAAAGAAAGAAAATGTTAAGGACGAAAAGAAAGAAAGAAAGAAAGAAAGTAAGTAAGTAAAGGAGAAAAGATTTGAAAGAAAGGAAAAAACTGACGTTGAAAGAAATAAAGAAAGCAGTTGAATTGAAAGAAAAATAAAGTGTATGGAGAAGAAAGAAAGAAAGAAAGAAAGAAAGAAAGAAAGAAAGAAAGAAAGAAAGAAATGAATAACAACAGAAATATTAACGGAGAAACTGGCAAAGAAAGAAAGAAAGAAAGAAAGAGAGAAAGAAAGAAAGAAAGAAAGGAGTATTTGAAAGAAAGAAGAAACTGAAGTTGAAAGAAATAAAGGAATAAAGAAAGAAATGTAGTTGAAAGAAACATAGCCTGCATGGAAGAGAAAAAAAGAAAGAAAAAAGACAGAAAGAAAAGGAAGAAAAGAAAAACAGCGAACTCAAAGAAATGGAAATATATTAAGAGAAATAAAGAAAAATAAGTATACAAATACATGATTAGAAGAAAGGCAAAAACTATACAGAAAGAAAGAAATGTAGAACGAAATAGAGAAAAAGCGTGGCTAAAAGAAAGAAAGAAAGAAAGAATAAAACCTAGAAAAAGAAAGTGTTTGAAAGAAAGAAAGAAAGAAAGAAAGAAAGAATGAATGAATGAATAAATGAAACAAAGGAAGAAATTAGGCCGAAAAAACATCATGTGTATGGATACCGGTATCAAAGAAAGGAAAGTATGTCGAAAGAAAGAAAAAAAATTAATAAAACAAAAAATACAGATCCGTGTATTTATTGGAAGGAAGAAAGGAACGCAACCGAAAGAAACGCAATCTTGAAAGAAAGAAAGAAAGAAAGAAAGAAAGAAAGTGAAAGAAAGAAAGAAAGAAAGAAAGAACAGCTTACACCGACTTCACTATTGAGATGAAATGCTCTTCCTCGGTAGTTCAGCGAGCCAAAATCACCATGTCGACATCCAAGAGTTAGGGTTTTGTCAATACAATCTCATGCTGGATAGTCTATTTTACAGGGTTGAAGGTTTACACCTGCAGTTTGCTAATAGACGACCAACGGCGAGTAATCCCTAACCTGACGCCCTGGGAGAAATAGATTTACACTTTTCCCAACAGCCAAGAAGCAACCTCCAATTTACTTCGCATCTCATTTAAGGCGTTCCACGCCTGTTGAAGGTCCGCTCATATCTGATGAGACCTAAATAGTTCAAGTGATTCTAACATGGAAACTCCAGATAAAAGGTCGAACAGGATATGTATAAATTCCAATAGTATATCTGATTCATCGATTTTTTTCTGGAAGCGATATCGATTGAAAGACATTAATACCGCCATGTTTCTCTGCCAGTAGTCAATGCTATAAGAGCTGACTTTCTCTCTTAGGGGTTTCATGAATTCATAATTACCAAGGGATTCCGGAAAATCGCTGTTGCCTATATTCTGGTCATCATATTGTTAGCTAATCATTGTGAGAATTGGGTGTGCGCAACTGAGTTCATCCGAGATTTTACAAAATCCTAATCTTTGTGGGTTTATTTAATCAATTCACCCCAAACAAGGCGATAATGTCATTAAGATGCAAGGGCCAAGGGGGAGTCAAAGAGAATGAAAAAAGGCTATAAAAAGGAACCGGAAACGCATTTCTAAACAGGAAACAAGGGATAAAACTCTACTTCCGTTCAAAAGGCCGGGAAGATGTTTCTGACAGTTTTGTCTAGGCAGTTTTACTGTATCTGTTTTTCGCTTAAGGACTTCAATTCAGACAACAGCCAAGAAATAGGAGATTTTGAGGAACCTGGAACCACATCTTTATTGCCATTGTTCCCAGATTCACTCTGACACGGGAATGTAGCGCCTCTGTGTCCCATCTATGGGCAAATAGTGACCCCCCCAAAAAAGACTAAACACTATGAAAGTATAAAAATACATTTTTATAGTAAAAATACCAGCAATACATTTTTATATGAAAAATACCAACAATACATGTTTATAGTAGAATTGCCAACATTTTATAACAAAATGACCAACAATACATATTTATAGTAGAATTGCTAACATTTTATAACAAAATGACCAACAATACATATTTATAGTAGAATTGCTAACATTTTATAACAAAACGACCAACAATACATGTTTATAGTAAAATTGCCAACATTTTATAGCAAACCTTTTAATTGCTGTTTGTTCCAGAACCACCCTGACCCGGGGTGGTAGCATCTGTTAGGGTCCCAACTATATATAGTGAAACCCCGGAACAAAAACAAAACACAATGAAAGTATAAAAAATATATGTTTATAGAAACATTACCAACAATATATATTTATAGAAAAACATTGCCACAGAATTTACATATTGATTTTAAAATGACATAGCGTATTCTTTTACTTTAAAAGGAAACTTTTTCGCCCAACTCTTCTGAAAGATTCGTTGAAAAAAAAAAGAAACAAAAGGATTAAGGATCATCGTTGCAACTGAATAAATGGATTAGGGTGGGGACAAATAATGGCCCATGACTTAAATAAATGTATTACTAAAACAGTAAAGCAATTAAGACTGTGACCTGCGTTTGTACTCAAAAAATCACCATATAAGACAGGGTGGGGTTAGCAACAGTATAAGACAAGGTGGCAGCCTATTCACTTGACTCATTCGGTTCGTGGGTCAGTGATTGGACTATATCTGGTGAACAACCCGGGTTGCGCTTCCGAAGCGGTTCAGCCGACTTTGTGAAGGCAGAAAGAGAACTTTCTTCGTTCCCTGACTCTGATGGTGGGTTGTGAGTAGAAAATTCTCTGTTTTATGCGTAGGTCGTGAGTACAAAATGTTTTTTTTTTCTGTTTTATACTCACTACGAGCTTATTCACATCGATTTATTGTTTTAGTAATAAATTTATTTAAGTCCATTTATTCAGTTTCACCGGTGAACATTAATTTTTTTTTTTCAACGAATTTTTCTGAAGAAGAGTTGAGCGAAATTTTGCTTTTAAAGTAAAAGAATACGCTATGTCATTTTAAAATCAATATGTAATTTCTGTGGCAATGTTTTTCTATAAATATGTATTGTTGGTAATTAAAAGAAAAAAAAAAGAAAACGAGCGAGATAACCGGTTTCGAACCTCGCTCAATAGAGCTAAGTCAAGGTTAATAAAGGTATTATTATCAATAAAATGATGGATAACATGTATGCGGAAAAATTCTTAAATGGAAATTAATTGGAGACAGAGGACAAAATCCTTATGTTTATTTAATGGAAGAAATATATATGGTCTCCAGTATTCTCAAGTGGTAATTTGAGTGGGATTTACTGAGGACGGAAAACGAGTCCACACTAAAATTGACAGCATAATTATGGTCACTTATCAGGTGATCCGCCATGGAAAACCAGTAAATATTGGCCACAATATCTGACGGAGAATAGTTAAGATTTCGGATTTTATTGGTACATCTTGTTTTCTTCTGACATCCAGTCTTTGAGTCGTTCTCCTATATATAGTGCGAACCAAAACTACATTTTAAAGGACTATTATGATATATATATATATATATATATATATATATATATATATATATATATATATTATAAAATTTGAAAAAACTCTTTATTCTACATTCAACCACCATTACTTGATAAGATAGCATAAGTATTGAAACAAAATGGCTACTTTTATAGTGATTTTATCGCATATATATGTTATAATTTTCAAATAAATTATATTTGCTCTACTCTATATTTAGCATTCTTTTAAGAATAGTAATTTTTGGTTATGGGAATTTATTCCGTATAT